AGCAGCAGCAGCAGCAGCTGCTGCTGCTGCTGCTGCTGCTGGTTCTGGTGGTGGTTCTGCTGCTACAAGTGCAGCAGAACGTGCAGCAGAAGGCGGAGAAGAAGAATCTAGATCCCAGCAGCAGCAGCAGCAGCAGCAGCAGCAGCAAGACCATGCACAGGATGATAATAACAATAATAATCAGCAGCAGCAGCAGGATCAGCAGCAGCAGCAGCAGCAGCAGAATGCGCCAACCTCTGGGCCCTTTCGTTTGGTGTTAAGCCCTTTGTGTTTATTAAACAAATCTTTATTTCTGTCAGATGTTGCGTTTGTCAAGCTTATGGATGCACTTGAAAAGACAGCACATGCACGCGGAGGCAGCGAACAGTCTGTATCTCCCGATGACGCTGCGAGAATTGCTGCACACGAGCTGCAGTTGGGGCTGCATGCAGTCATTTCAAAACAAGTGCATGCGGTAAACAACAACGCAACTCTCCTCTTCCTGCTGCTGCTGCTTGTGCTGCTGTTGCTGATGCTAGTTCTCATGCTGCTGCTGCTGCTGCTGCTTGTCCTGTTGCTGATGCTGAGAGTGCTGCTGCAGATGCTGAGAGTGCTGCTGCAGATGCTGCTACTGATGCTGCAGATGCTGCTGCTGGTGTTTGATTTGCTGCTTCTTATATGTTTATTGTATTTGATTTGCTGCTGCTGCTGCTGCTGCTGCTGCTGTTTGCATGCAGCACTGGCAGCGCCGACGTCAGCGACTGCAGAAGCCGCTGCTGCGACATCTGTGGCCGCAGCCTTCAGCAGCAGATTCTTCTCCTCTTGCTGTCTTCAGACCTCGAGTAATTATTTTATCTGTCTCTTTATCTGTCTCTTTATCTATCTCTTTATCTGTCTCCTTATCTGTCTCCTTATCTGTCTCTTTATCTGTCTCTTTATCTGTCTCTTCTTTTGTCTCTTCTTCTCTTCTTCTCTTTCTTTTGTTTGTTTTGTTTGTTTATATTTTTGTTCTGTTTATTTTGTTGTGTTTGATGTTTGTGCTGCTGCTTTTGCCTTTGCTGCTGCTGCTGCTGCTGCTGCTGCTGCTGTTGCTGCTGCTGTTGCTGCTGCTGTTGTTTATTGGAGTGTCTATTTGTCTCCTTTTCTTGAGTTGTGTAGGGCGTTTGTTGTATTTGCTGCTGCATGCTTGCTGCATGCTTGCTGCATGCTGCTGCTGCTGCTGCTGCTGCACCTCGTGCTGCAGTTTGTCTCCTTTTCTGTTTACTGTCTCTTCTTTATTTTTTATTTGCAGGTAGGGCGGGAGAAGATGACTCTAAGAAAACAAAAACGAGTTGGTAGAGACTCTCTCATCCGCGCTGAGAAGCTTCTCGATGACTGCAGGTAAGCAGCAGCAGCAGCAGCAGCAGCAGCAGCAGCAGCAGCAGCAGCAGCAGCAGCAACAGCAGCAGAAGCAGTAGCAGCACGATAATTGTAAAGCCTTAGTATGAGCAAACGTGCAGCGCTGAAAAGCCTCATGGGTGGGAGGGTTAGCTGTTACAGCAGCAGCAGCAGCAACAGCAACAGCAGCAACAGCAGCAACAGCAGCAACAGCAGCAACAGTAACAGCAGCAGCATTTTATTATGTGTTTTTGCTGCAGGCTAGTAGAGAAGGTGCTGCGCCGCATGCGCACAAGAGACGAGAAGAAGGAGCACTTGCTGGAGGTGGGTGAAGAGTTAGGGTTTAGGGTTTATAAGTGTTTTAAAAGGGTTTATGAGTGTTTTAAAAGGGTTTAAAAGGGTTTATTAGGGTTTATTAGGGTTTATTAGGGTTTATTAGGGTTTAGGGCTTGGGGCTTGGGGCTTAGAGTTTAAGGTTTAGGGTTTAGGATTTAGGGTTTAGGGTTTAGGGTTTGCTGGGGTGTATGCGCAGGTGCGAAGCCTGATGTTTGAACAACAGCGCTTCGAGCTGACAGACCCTCTATACTCTCATCCTCTTTGGCCTCAATTAAGAGATAAAATAAGAGGTGCAAATAACAGAAGAATAGATAAAAGAGTAGAGAGAAAAGCAGCAGCTATTGCGCACAATACTGCTGCTGCTGCTGCTGCCGGTGCAGCACCTGCTGCAGCAGCAA